GCCCTTGGGCCGCTAGCTGATCACAAGGCTAGCTATCCCACCACTGACCCTCCGGGCCTACCGTCGACCCAGGCAGCATGTCAGCGATATAACTAGCCTTGATGTCCTCCCAAGGCTTCCTCTTTATTCGACCCTCCAGGGCCGAGGCCAGCCCCCGACATGTACGAAGACCACGTATCATAACTCCAGGAAAAGCCACGTCTCCTACTGTAAACACTACACAGAGCTGTATGGGAAACCATGTAGTAATGTGACATGCAAACAGATTTGACAATGGTCACTAGTAGAGGTACAGAATTCCTTATCATCATCATTAACCGCCGGTCGAACTCCGGCCAGCCAAGAGGAGCTCATAGCGGCCTTTCAAGTCATCCAACGCCTCCTCTTTGGCCTTCTTCTCCTCCTCACTCCTGACCATCCAACCACTCCATTTAGGTTCCACCCTAGTGATGTGATAAACACTAGTGTAAAATATATTTCCCGACTACTACATATCACCGCGAATATCAGCTTTTTCACCGAGTATCACACCACATCACGTAAAACGAGTGAAACTTCATTGTACCCACTCCCCCGCCCAACTACTACCTATCTAGCTTGTTAGTGAGATCTACCAGCAGCTCCATATAGGCGTCCAGCTGTTCCTGGATGCCCACTGTAGTACTGTCGTCCAGAGATTCCTCATTATTAGGGCTTCTTACCTCCTCCCTAGCCTTGTCACGCTACCAGGGACAACGTCACAAAAACCAATAGAGTATCCTTCTCACACTCACCTTATTAGCTAGCATGATCTGCAGCTCCTCGACCCTCCGTTCGGCTCTCTCAGCCCTATGAACCCCCTCCAGAGCCTTCTCCAAGCTGGCGGCCAACTCCACATTGTCATCAAATAACGCCTCGCATCGTCCCTCCAGCTCCTTACGCCGCTCCTCTAGCCCAGCCACGCCCGAACACATCTCCTCCAGGCCTTGGCACTTAGCCGTCAAAGCCTCAACCTGGGCAGCAGCCTGCGTCTCAGCTTCCCTATGAGCCTCGATGCCCAACCTCAGTTGAGACACCTCGAGGTCACGATCTCGGAGGGTGGCGGTGACACTGTCGATCCTTCCCTGCAGGCCTACTACCAGATCAGCTAGTTCCTTGT